ATTTAACATTTTTTTTAAAATAATATATGATAAAACTAAAGTAGTAATTGATGAAAGTAAAATTGGCGTCATTCTGTTTAATTAAAATTTTTACACTTACCGCTGTAGTATGGATACATCAAAGTTTATATGAGGTAGAATAATTAGTTATAGACTAACAGTCTATTTAATATGTTCTTTTATTTTATACTATTATTTAAAAAATGTATATAATTTTATTAACATAAAAATAAATAGATATTATTTAATTATAACATTTTGTTTATCATCTGTCTTCTTTGTTTCTATAGACTGTTACTTTTGGTAAATCATGGGAGAAAATAATGTGCCAAGACAGTAGGCCAGAGTCACCAGTTATTAGGTCATTAGGTGGGAGAACAGAGTCATATAGACATGAAAGGGATCCCCATTTAAAAGATATAAATTTTAATATGTTAAAAGATGCGGGTAACCATGTAAGAAGAGAAAATAACATGAGAAATAGAAAGAACCACCTAGAGGAATCATATGATCCAAGATATCGCGACAGATACGAAAAATCCGCGGATAAATTTAAACAAGGTGATAATTATGAAAAAAAAAGCTATGGAGGGAAACGTAATAGAAAATCAAAAGAAAATTATTGTAGGGAAAAAGCTGATAGTTATCTAAAAGAACCTGACGACGGCTATTATAGAAAAGAAGACGCCGATTTTGGTAGTAGAGGTTGCAATAATAGAAAATCCTCAAATGATAATTGTCGTGAACCAAAATGTGATGTCGAAAAATATGATAAAAATTCAGGAATGGAAAACATTGATAATACCAAATGTCTGAGGGAGTTGGAATACTACGATTATAGCAAAGTAAAGAAGTGCTTATCAGAAAAAGCAGTAAATATATTTAAGAAAATGGATGCACAATTTCAAATGGAATTGTTACGTTTTATAAAAAATAAAAACAATGTTACAGAAATCGAATTTTTAGAATTTAGGAGTAAAAAAGAAAGATATTTATATTACCTTAAGAGGAATAAAGTGTTTTTACCGCTTATTGCACAAACAATTTTTTTTCTGCTCTTTTTAATTTTGGCTTATACAACGAATCCTAGTGTAAGTACGGCAATGGGTATAATCTGTATTATTGCGGGTGAAATGCTATTGGCTTTGTCATATTATTATTTTAAAAAATACTTGAGTGTAAGAAAAATTCATAAAACATACAAAAAAATTGGACCCAAGGTAATGAAATGAAAAACCAGTACTAAATGGGTATTTTGTATAAGTATTCATATTCCATATAGTAGTTTGAATATGTATTAGTATAATGTATATATTTAGATAAAAAATAAATATATGTACTCCGAGTATATACAATGAATTATTAGTATATTATAATTTTTAATATATTTTTATAATATTTTCTGTTTTTTATGTTCAGATGAAGATTAAGAATTAGGATTTTCTTTAATTTTATGCATTAGCATTTTGGATAATGCTATGTAAAAAATAATAGGAATTTATAAAAATGAATTATCTAAAGTAGTTAAATTATATAAGTCCGTTACAGAATGTGTAAGAATGAATTAATAATATATACAACACATATATATTGTATGATAAATGTTTATTTCAGAAGAGCTAAGATATCATTTTTATAATATTATAAGTTTAATATAAAGATTAACAATATCCATTACATATATTATGCATATGAATTTTTCATATTTTTAGTAGATGACTTATTATTAACAATTTAAAATAATGTATAAAGGTTTAGCACAAATATAGAACAGGGCGTTATGATGCATTAGCTTTGAATAAATTGAATTTTGTTTATTTTAATTATTGCGGATAATTCAAGGATAAATTACTTTTTTATTTTGTTTTATGCTTTTATTTCTTGTCCTCTTTTTTTTTTTTTTTTTTTCTTAAATTACCCTTTTGACTTCAAGAGCATGAAAAGGAATACGAAAATGTAATTAACATATAATTACAATAAAAAAATTATTGGAGTACAGTTGTCATCTTTAGTTGAGGAAAAGCGAGATATTAAATATTTTAGATTTGTATTTGTGGTGTTGCATTTAAGCAAAAAATATTGATAGAAATTTATAAAAGATGTGTTTCACAAATAACACCTTGTTAAATATGAAAACAAATGTGAAGCCCCTCCCACCAAAAAAAATTATGGAATAGAAAATAAATGTATAAAACATTAAAATGAGGTACTAAAATATTATTTTATTATGTGTGGTGGTGAAAACGTACAGACGATATAACAGAGAAATTTGTATAATATTATTTAAAATGTGTAATGCATTATATAATGTTTTGCAAAATCGTGTAAAAAGAACCATTTTTTTCATTGTGTATGAATAAATAATTATATGTTTATGCTTCCCTTTGCATTTTTATTGTTATAATTTCCGTACGTAATATTTTATATTTATTAGAATTTCTTTTATAAAAAATGTTTTACATATATGAATTTATAATAATTATTACATAATTCATTCCAAAATATGTGTAAAACATTTAAGTATTTTTATATATTTTTAATGTTTATTTGTGTCTGTATATCCTTCTCTGTCGAATATTTACCAAATTCAATTACATATGAATAAAATGCTTTATTCGATATTATTAACCGGAAATAATAACATTAGTAGGTGTTCAACATTATAGAATTCTTATTTTAATATTCCATGCCTAATTATAGATTTTTTTATGTGACATATAATCCCTTATTGTTATATCTTAATATATCGCAATTATGTATAATCATATAATGGTGAAATTTGTAATATTTATTTATATTTTTTTATATTACATGTGTTTTATATTTATGTTGTGTTTCGATCTATGAAACAGAGCGTATATACAAAATTAAATTTATATATATCATCATAATGTTCTTCCAAAAAAACGCGTTCGAAAAAATTTGTTATTTTATAATATTATGTTAATTCTTAAGATACGTATATAATACACCTTTTTAGATAATATAGATTAGCTTATGCTTAATAATGAGGTCTCCTTATTTTCTCATCTGCTTCATGTTATTGACTAGTTGTCTCATTTCAAATAGAATTTTTAGAGTAGCCAAAATTAAACCAGAAAAAACTAATAAACAATGAAAAAATATACAAAGTACGTAATTCTTATATAATTAATTATTTTTAATTATAATAGCTTAATATAATAAGGGTAATATAAATATTCATATTTCTATGTGAAAAAGTTAATATGTAACAGATATTTCCAACACTGAAAAAAAGAGTTGGGTAAAAATCGCTGGTTTTTATACAACATATGATGGAATATGACAAGATTAGATATTTGTTCAATTCACAAAATTTATGCAAGACCAGGTAGAATTTCCTAAGTGTGATTCATTCGAACTAGTATCTATATGTCCGCTATTGTTTCTTCTTTCTGAAATATGTTGAAGTTTTATACAAATTAATGAGTCAACTTTACGTTTTAAATTAGACATAAAATAAAGGGAATTTTTTAAACATAATTTTGGAATAAAGGATGAAACTCGGTTATATATTAACTTTTACAGAGTTCTTCAAAAATATTTTTTGCTAAAAATGTTTTGTTGTGTAGTACCAATATTCTTCATAATTAGTTTCATTATGTTTAGTATCTGTAGTAGCTATTGGATAACATTCTAGTATATCATATGATATTCCTTTTTTTTTTTTTTTTTTTTATCTATGCTTATTATATTTGATATAACATATATTACAATGGTAAAGATATTATTATGTTATTTGAATTGTTTATTAAAAACAAAACTCTAAATGAGCCTAAATTTTCTAAACCGATGTTACAGAATTATTTTTTCATAAAACAGGATAATTAGACGAATGAAAATATATGAAGTATCTAAAAATGCTTACAAATATTAAGTGTCACATTTTTTAATTATATATTTATGGATTATCGATTAAATTTACTATATGTGTTTACAGTAATGCTTATAATTTTTTATGTATTTTTAAGTTAGATTTAGAGGATCATAATATATGCAGTGTTACACGGATAAGGAAAGGCCCGTATTAAAACTACCATAAAATTTTTTTACAGTATTATTATATGAGCAAATCATTGTAAAAAACATAAACAAAAATTAAGATGCATAAATATATGTCTATTTTGAAAAAATATATTTCTCTGTGTTTTACTAAACATATACTTTATAAATATAGAAGAGCTGAGGTTAACTGTTTTGTAGTAAATGAAAATTCGGCTTTATGAACATTGTAATGGACTTATATGTGTTCATGTTCATCTGAAAAAAATGAAGTTATAATATGATTTGGGATATATTGAGGTAATATATTAAGGGTACAAAGCAAAACAAATGTGCATAAGAATCACTTTAAGAAATAATTACACATGTAAATAGCAATTCTTGCATAATACCCAATGAATATATATTAAATATACCATATGTACTTTAAGGATTATGGGATATTTGATTATAAAAAAAAATTGAGATATGTGTAAAATAAATTATGTAAACTATACACGACACAAAAAATATTTAAAGTAAAAACCGTAGGGCTAAAATGAAGATATAAATTGTCAAAACTGTAGAAAAAAAATTGTTCTAAATTACTCAATTTTAATGGGGAATAAAACTATACCTAAAATTGGAAGATTAAAATAATAAAGTTCTTAAAATAAAAAGAAAGTTTGTCGTATTATTTTAAAGTATGATGATGCACTATCTCAAATGTTTTAGTGCATTCGTCTCACACTTATGATTAAATATAGAACTTCCTATTTTTTAACAGCACAAATAATTGGTTATACTATATAGCAACGACTTTTTGATATTTCACATATGATCACGCAGAAAAAGATAAACAAACACAGTACAGTATAATTTACAACATCGTCAATGTAATAATTCTTATTACATTATAAACACGATATTCGTATTAGCAACTGTAAAAATTTTGTCACATAAAAGAGCTATTTTGAATTCTTGAATTGTAAAACGGATAAAAATATATTTTTCTTATGAACTTGATTGAGCTCCACAATTATTATTAAATAATGAATTACTATGTAAGTTATCATTAATTTAATATGATAGTTTAAGAAATATAACACGAATTAGACACTATAATAACTAGATATGTAATATAGTTGTATCGCTTAGCACTATTTAGTTTAAAATAACATATAATAATAGTTAAAAACTTTAATTTTATTGCATGCGGATTATTACAACATCTTTTTAAAGTTGTATTGTTTTCTATTTTTATTATTAAATAAAGCATAAATAAAGAAAATATTTAATTACAACACAAGAAATTATCAACCAAGGAATAGAAATTTTTAGACAAATAGTTTAGAGCTATTGAAGACAATAAATATTTTAATTAAAGATTTATTATAAACACGTTAATTGATAATTTGTTTCATATATTTTACCAAATATTAGCTCACAATATATTGTGGAATTAACCATTATTATTCAATTTTTATAGCAATGGAATTGATACATCATAATACCTTAAGTGGTAATCATGGTAGTACATGTAAAACGTTAATTTTATAGTTTAAATATATTCAATATTGAAAATAATATTTTTTCATTTGTTGTTCATTGAACATTACGTAGTTTATGATTAACTAATTCATTTGGCACAATGATATGTGTAAATTTTCGTTACAGTTCACTAAAAACTCGAATAAACCATGCCTTATTATTTAAGTCAGAAAATATTTTATTTTAGTGGTGTTATAAGAATTTATATATTATATGTGTTTATGTTTTTCAAGTGTAACAATTTTGCATTTTTGTAACATGGTCCATGGGGTTATATACATTCTGTTATCTAATTATATTTCGTATGAGCATTCCTAAAAATGTACTTTTTCAGTCATTAAATTGAGAAGCATTAATGATTAATTTAACGAATTTTAAACTACACATAAAATGATAAGCATATGGCAACTATAAACTGTTTTAATCAACAGTCATAATGCTGTGTGATTTAAAAAGTTATGTAAATTTTCTTCTTGCTAATAGAAATGGAATGTACTTTAAGAGATTGTTACTTGTATTAATTTTACCTAGTAAGAAAATATGAAATTCGATGTATATAACAACAATTACTGAATATTGGATAATTTTAATATTAGTAATAATATATATGCAAAACTAAATTATTATGTCACAAAACTATGGCTATGTATTATGTTATTCTTCGAAAGATTGGTACACA